CATTTGACAGGCAGTAACCATGGGTCAGACTGTACAATTGATTTTTCAGAACACTTCTTAGATTTCTATAGGGAGTTCAGCTTAAAAATTGATGAGACAATATGTCCTTATTAAAGCAACCATTTTAGGAAAAAAAAGCCTCTCACCTGTTTAGATTTAACTCCTGTTCCTACTGAAGACTGACTAAACCATCTATTATAGTAGAACAACATCCCTTCAAGCCCTAATTTTTAGGAATTCTTAGCTACAAAATCGAGTTTGCAGAATAGAATAAATACAGCTGTCTACAAATAAAGTTTGTCAAGAGCTTGTAAGATTGGAACCCAGATTGTTGGCTGGGTTTTTAGTGTTTTAGCTTTTAGTTTTTAGCTTTTCCCTACCTGCCTCCTTAGAGCTACAAGGAGTAGGTTAAGAGTAACAGAAACAAAGCACACACAGAGATGCACAACTGGTTAGGACACTAACTTCCTTACAGGGAAACGACCCAAATTGTGCAACACCTTGATGGCCAGGTGTTATGGGCTGTGATCTGAGCAGGATCCCAGCCCAGGACATGGGGCAGTGTTCCCCATTCCCGGGCAGGGGCACACAGCCAAGGAGGCTGCAGCAGCTCCCAGCCCGCTCCTGTGCCAGAGCCCGGCTCCACACGGGGCTGGTTCCTCCTGGAAATGATACAGCAAGGCTGTTGAAACAACACAAATGTTCCCTTGAGAATGAGTTTAAAAGTTTTCACTGCAGTGAATCACAGAAGCAACTTATTGAAGAATTTCACACTAACTGGTTCTTCAGTTTTAAATCACAGTAAAGATCAGTGCCCTTGCCTGCATTTACCTATAACTGCCTGCAAAAGCAAGGTGACATTTCCCCTTTAGATGTCATCCAGAAGACTTTCCGAGTGCAAGGTGACATTTCCCCTTTAGATGTCATCCAGGAGACTTTCCGAGTGCAAGGTGACATTTCCCCTTTAGATGTCATCCAGAAGACTTTCTGAGTGCAAGGTGACATTACCCCTTTAGATGTCATCCAGGAGACTTTCCGAGTGCAGCACCAAGGCTGATGTCAAAGAGCAATTCTGCTTTGCAATTGTTATACATTGTTTATAACTGAACAGCATTTAAGTCTGCACTCAGTCCACCTTCTGTCCTCAGCTGGACACAAACATTACACACATTTCTCCCATAAAGTCCAACAACAGAGATAAGGCAAAATATGAAACATACTGAAATCACGAGGCTCAGAAAGTTGGAAAGTTAACAACATGACAGCTTCACGTGCAGCAAAATGTTCCAGATGCATAATGCCTTCTCTGGAGGAAAAGAAAATAAACCAAACACACCTACCCCATGTCTTTGACTTTTTAAACCAATTTGCAAATTCACAGAATAATTTTTCTTTAAAAAAAAAAAAAAAAAAGGGAGGGCAAGGATAAGATGATGGGGGACATAGACACACGTTTTGGAAACACCTGGTATGACAACCACAGTTTACAGACCAGGTGTTTAGGATCCTTCCCTAAAAAGCTGAGTAATCTTGGTTTACAATTACCATCAACTTAATCGAGGGTCTTTGTACAAAGAACAGAAGGGAAACAAGGGGTACTCCACTGCAGTCCTCAAGGTTTCACTCAGACAGCAGTACTCAAGTTTCCCCATTTACTTTTCCAGCCCTGGTTTTCCACACATTTTTTTACATATGCTCAAAGCCAAGCATTTAATTTTATTCCAGATAAGAGGCGTTTTTCAGGGTTTCTGCCAGAATGGCAAAGTCAGCAGGATTTTGACAAAGTGCAGCAGGAATTTAAAGAGTAAAGGCAAAGTATCCCATCACCTGGAAAGTGCTGATGATGATAGCAACCAAGCTGGAGAACCACTTGGAATATTTAATCAGGCTGTGGTACAGATTAATTTTATACTGTCTTTAAAGTGCTTTGAACATGAAAAGCATCACTTAATTGCTTTATCTTCAGCCTCATCACCACCACAATGCCCATCCCACCTAACGGTGCAAGGCAGCTGCTGAACCTCTGCTGCTACACGGGGCTGTAACGGGGTGAGCTGGTCCCAGCAGCACCCAAACCCCTTCACCTGCTTTCAAGCAAGTAACAAGTGATTGCTGGGTAGATTTTTGTAAAAACGTTCTACTCCTCATGCACATCAGCCCAGCTGTGCAATTCCTAATGTGTTCTGGCTAAAAGTTAAATCAGTACCTAATGAAAAGAAAATTACGAACCATTAACAGTAGTAGTGATTGTCACTTTCAAAGCATCAGCATCTGTGACAACGCCCAAGCAATTAATAGCTTCCCTTGGCTTTATGAAGTTTCATATAGAAACATTGTAACTCCTAGAGCAGTTTAGGTAGATTAGAGGACACTGTAATCCAAAGACTTTTTAACATCTCCCTTTGAAAACCACTTCTACTAAAAGAGAGTAAGAACAACACTGGATAACTACTTTATTTATCCAGAATCATACCAAATTTGTTATATCAAATTTGGACAACAGTACAAATACATAGCAAGTGGTATCTTCAGTCTTCAATTAACTCTTGAAAAGGCAGACTTCACTTAAAGGGATGACAGGAGAGAAAGATTCAGACATTCTGCACATTCAATGATCAGGAAATGTGGTACAATTACACTGTATTTAAAAAAATGCATAATTTTTCTTCAGGCTACCACCTCTGGCTTCCAACTACATACTCTAAGACAAAAGGATAGGAAAACTCAACTCAGTTCTGCAGTGCAACAAAATGCCTCAATACTCAAGAAAAGTACAGCACATAGAATGGCCAGGGTTTATGCACCTTTCTGCACTTGGAAGAAGTGAGCATTTTGCACTAGTAATCATCACACTCATATTACACCAAGAAATGGGCCTGCTGTTTTATTATGCTGTTTAAAAAGACATCCCTCAATCTTTGGGGATTTTTTGTGCCTTTCTTTTAGGTGGGTGGGCATGGGGAGGTGTTGGTGATTATTTAGGGAAGAAAGACACCTTGTCTTAAGCACTGAATACAGAGAACTGCACAAAGAAAAGTAATATTCTGACAGCAACACAGAAACTTGGGCATGAAAGCAAACATAGGGAAAGAGACTAGAACTGCCAGGGTACCCCCATAGACATCCTGTGCAAATACAAACCTGGCAAGTGTTTGAATCACCACCTGTGGTAACAGAGAACACACCTGAAGAACCTCACTGTCTGGAACAACACCTAGGCACACATTTAAACAACTAACATATCAATCAAAAAGTGTATATGTAAAAATGAGTCAGAGCTGATTTACTTTCTTGCTTTTCTCAGACAAAAGAATTAAGTCACCTTCTCAATCCTTTTTATTTTCCTTTTTTTTTTTTTTTGTTTGGATTTGCATCATAAAAACCAACACTTTAAAAAAAAACCCACACAGCTACCATGAAAGATAATAAAGGGAATAGCACATTTTCCTTGGAGAAACAAGGTGCAGCAGTAGGAACACACTAGCTAGCACATGGGAGCCAGAGTAAAGAATTACAAAGTTCTGCAGTACTCTTGTCCTAAATGCTTTCAGGCATCCTCTTATTTTATAAATACTTCACGTAGGGATAGCATAGGCCTTTATTAATTCATCCTCCTGTTGAAAGGACAGGATCCTACAGCAAAGCTCTGTGACATGAGACACTGAGAGAATGCACAGTAATTCAGAATTTCATTTGATTTCTATCCAAATAAATTGAATCAACCAGATTACAGAATAATTACAATTCTCTAAGTCAAAGAAAAATTCTGCAGCCTTTTCCCAGAATCTGCTTTGTGACTATCTTTAAAAAATGCTAGAGGATTTGCCACTGCAGTTTACATGCTTTTTAAAGTGGCTTATTTCATTAGCTGTCTTAGAGCTGAGGGACCACATGAGAGTGCACTTCATCTTCTCTGGGCAACAGCCCCTCCAAAATTATTGATTTCACGAGGTTGGTAATTCAGCTGGAGTGTCAACCTCAAAATCCATGAGAGAGGCCTAAACATAAGACGTAAGATCATTCTGCCTAGCAAAAGCTCCAAGGTTTTCCATGCCTTGGAAGTCTTCCATTTCAAAACACAGGAACTTTTCAGTGGGATATCAGCAAGGTGGTTGTGGCACTGGTGAAGGAATATAATCCTTGAATGCTCACCACCAGCTTTTACATATAGTGCTCTGCACATAAATTGAGAGAGACTTCAATGGAAATGTTTGCATTTCAACACAAGTCTCCTTGGTGAGTGATCTAGCTTGTCTCTAAGATCAAAGAAACGTGCATTAACATCTTCTGCTTGCAGAGGAAAACACACACACAACCCACCCATAACTCAAAGTGTAGTGAACTACAGAAAAGCAGCCAGGGAAAACAAGAGGAAACAGAATGGATGAACCAGATCATCCTCCAGAAACAGGACTAAATACGGATGCAGATTAGCCTGGCAAACTGAACATTTCTAGGAAGTGCTGATATGTCACTGTATTGCCAAAATTAGAAAAACTGTGTAGGAAGCAATTAGCTACTGTAGCTTCTCCCTATTTAAAATGATTGTTCAAGCCTATATTGTAATATGTGGTTGGTCACACCAATTCAGTATGTAAATGCTGGCATGAAAAATGCCATTTATTCAATCTTGACTAAAAAAAAAAATCAAATTGAGTCGAGAGAAATAACAGTTCATTTCTTGACCACTCTGCATTTACACTTCAATTCTATTCCCACCACGCAGCTTTGCTGTGCACATTGTATGTGTGTCCTCCATAATTAAAGCTTTATTTGAACCTCCCCCCTCTTTCCACAACTCTCTCAGTTAGATCAAAACAGTAGAGACAAAAACTGAAACATGCCTGGGGTGCAGGAGAGAACAACACAGACTATTTAGTGATGTAGGCTAATGGTGTTGTGGAGGAAGGGGGCTGATTTTCACATCTCAGAACTGTTAAGCCTGCAAATATTACTGAAATCACATCTGGGAACAAAGCTCTGCTTTAAGTAAGTTCACCCATGAGTGTTGCTAAGCAATGGAGAAAAGATGAGGGAAAGGGAGGGTGCCTGACTTTAGGATTAGGAGGATGGATAGAAGATAAAGTAAGGCTTCTGCATAGCTTTATTTAGAAAAACTTTCAAGTTCTTTGTTTTTACTGCCTGTCCTCCAAACTACTTGTACTCTGATTAATCAGGTCTCATTCATTATCTATCCCAATGCACACCCAGCACAAAGAGAGGTGCTGCATCCTGGAGCACTGGCACAAGCATTTGAGCACCAGACCTGCCAACATCTGTCTCTGGATTTAACAGGTAAGAACAGGAACAGCTTTCCTGATGCAAATACTACAGAATTTAATGCCTATGTTTTAGAGAAATACTGCAGATACTTGTTTTTATGTAACTTAAATTATGCAGTGTATGGGAAATAAAATACTTGTGGCAGCTAGTGCTTGCTCTAACACTATTCTTATGCTGGTAGGTACAGAAAAGTGAAGTATTTTATCTTACAAGATCAATAAATGTCATATCTTCACCTTACTTATTTGTCCACTCTCTACTGGCATCGTGATATTGTAAAAGTTTCTTGTTCTGCTTTAGCAAGATTGCTTCCAATCCTTAGGAAAACAACCACATTTTCAGCTGTAGACAAATGCATTGCCTCATATTATTTCCCAGAAAACATTTGTTGCCTTGTTCAGCTAAATGCCTCCATAAACTATAGCATGTACATTTGTAAAGCATGCATTGTTGTAACAGTAAATTGAATTATTTGATTCATTTTCATGGTAGTAGTATTATTCTTTTGTTTTTTTCTTTTTAATCATCATAAATACTCCGGAATGCACATCTCTTTATTACTCAGCATTATATTCCATATGCTAAGGCATTTGCAGCCTCACAGGTCATTTCATAGGCATTAAACTTTTACTGTATACCTGTCTTTTTAACATTTGCTAATAACTCATCTGGAAAGAGAATGACATTTGTTGCTGAGTAACAGATGTCTGCACACACAGCATGAACTAGGAGCTCTGAAATGCTAGATTATGATTAACTACCTAGTCAGTATTCTAGTTAGAAATATTATTAAGGCCTTTTCCAAAACTCAAGATATTCAAATCCTATCACTTCTGCAGCACTCCAGCAGTGTTCCCTGCACATGGGATGCATTTCCCTGACAGACAAATGGCATTTAACAGACTAAAGAATAGAAACTAATTAAGAAGATTGAGTTTTGTAATCACACTTTTATTTCATGCACCTTTAATGCTTTCAGAAGCAGACTCTGAACTAAACATTTTAAGTTCAAAGAAGCGTGGACACTGTAGAAAGGCAAATTAAGCCACATGCTGAAACAACAACCTACAAGTTTTCCTCTGAAGTGTGATAAATTAATTACCGAGATTGGGAAGTTTCCCATCCTAACACATAAAATAGGTCACCTCTTGTACTATATTGTATTTGCATACACAGTCAGAAGCAAATCTATGGGCAGTTGCTTTAGAGCTGAACAGGCAGGGTCATACCATTTGTCATCCTCCAAGAACTCATCCAGGCAGTCCAAAACAAAGTCATCAAGTGGAAATATAGACCAGGATGGAAGAAGGATGCTTTGGATAAATTTCATATAGCAAACCTCTTGAAATGAATGCCATATAGAAAATGCACTGAGATCCATCATGTTGCATTGCCTAATTGACTTTTTTCCCCTTTTGCTTTTTCTTAATGAAAAGCAAGGAATGAGAGAAGAAGAAATCTTCCCTATCAGCAGCAGCAGGGGTTGCTGCAGCAAGATGATAATTCCCTCCTGCTACTCTGCTGACAAGCACCAAGCTGCACAGGAAGAATGGAGCATTTTAATCACGGGATTGAAAAATGCAGAAGTTCCTAAAGCTTCACCTTACCTTGGCTGATTTACATTAATTTAGGATCTACCAGCTTTCAGTGGAATAATGTTATCTATGGAAGATAACAGAGGAGGAAAAATTTGGTGGAACTTCTAGTTTCCCTGTGCATAATGTGCCAGGATCTATGTATATAAACAGTTTTGGAGCATCTTAGATAAGCAAAGACTATCGGAATCCTTAAAAGAACAGTGCAAACTTGAGAGCTCCTTAATACAAAATGTTTTCTAAGTGCCACACTTTCAAATACACACCACTGAAAGAATAAAAAATACATTAGCAACTGGCAAGTCCAATCCAGTGTCCATTGGAACCATCAAAAACCCTGTGAGAGAGGCCTCAAGGTTTTGGCTCTGGCTCTTTCATCTTTCAGATTATCATTTATAGCAAAGGCACTCCATAAGGAGCTGCTAAGACAAATGCAAATGTTGTGTCAAAGACAGTCAGACACCCCCCCAAAATTAAAAATTTGAGCACACAGCAGCTTACAGGCAGCAGCTTTGGGCATGTGGCTCAACATCTGCTACAACAGCACTAGAAAGCAGACCTGCGGCACGCTGGAGCGGTGCCAGCTCTCAGCTTATCCCCGGCCAGGCTGTCAGGAGAACGGACAGATGGCAGCCGATGCACTCACAGGACAGTTAGCTCAGTTAACAATCAAGGATGCTAAATGGTTTCAGATTCACTCTGCACCAAGCATTGTACTTTCCAGTGAACCATTAACACTGTGTCCTAATAGAAATATGGTTTGGTATGAAGGAACTGGCAGATCCTGTATTTTACAAGACAGTTTCTCTGGAACAATTTGTCAGGGAACATTAGATCTGCCTTCATGAATAAAGTGAGAATCTGCCAAGTTTGCCAGGCGGGTTTGCTCATCATTTTAATTCTGCAGTGTTTGAAGAGTGAGGATGGAAACAAACAGGAAGATGCAGGTCAGTTACCCCCACAAGCTGCTCCCAGGGATGCACTCAGGGGAAAGCAGGAGGGGTGTTAGGAGCACAGAGGATCTCACATCACAGCAGCTGTGCCCCTGCAGTGCTGCCTGCCTGCTCATGTCACACAGCTCTCCTGGACAGGACAGCGATCACAAGAGCCTGCTGGGTGACACACTTGTCACCCAAGTGCACAGATGTGACAACTCATCCCAGAAAAGCTAATGGTTCTTGGGTTTAAATGGGTAAAGTCTGTTAAAAAATTTGGCTCTCATATATTAAGAGGGCAAATAATTCAGCACATAGCATACAGGTGGACTTTTGGCCTCAGCATCACAAGATACATCTTTAAATTCTTCCGCCTTATGGTTAGATACGATTGTCTTTAAGGACAGTTGTAGACTTAGTGACAAATTTGTTCTACTGATTTACTTTTCCATAAATCAGCAGGGCAAGAATAGTCTTTGAAAAAAAATGTTGGTTTCTTCTCCCACCTCTACCCTCTCCTCCTGTTGCATATCACTTTCATCTGTCCACCCAAAATCCTATGTAGCTAAACAGCTGGATAAAAGTATAATATAATTTATTTATTACATATTTGGCTCCCATGACCATTTTATTCATCATTGTGGCACCAAACAAATAACCCTGAGAAAATACCCAACCACCAACCCTTTGCTGCCTGCATTGGAAAAATCCTTTCGCAGAAAGCAGGGGAGAAACCCAAGAAAAACAAGTGGAAAAATAGAAGGACAGGGAAGAGAGAGAACTTAGCTCTGTTGAAGGAGGTAGGAGTTGTGCCATGGATACCAGAAAAGCAGCACCTCACACTTCTTATCTGTTATCTCATTTCCAAAGAGTAGGACTGAGGCAAACTGGAAAACCTAAAGCATTTTCAGTGGGCAATCAACAAATGAGTTCCCCACACAGTCAGGGAAGTGCCAGCTGGAGAGCAGCTGTGGGAACCCAGGGCTTCCCTCTGGCTGCCCTGGCAGGTCTGAGACCCTGGCAGGGGTCAGGAACCCCCCTGGACAGAGCCCCCAGAGACACTGTCTCTGATCTCTGTCCATGGAAAAGAGTTTTCAATCCTACAGGATGAATTACCAGCTCTGAGTGTTTGATAGAAGTAATAATTAAGTGTGGCATGGGTGCAAAAGTAAAATTTTAGGATTCTAGATTAGGGGTTCAAAGGGGAAAGATGGAGGAAATTGGGTGTGTCTTGTCCTTTTTCTCCTTCTTCATGCCCTCCATGTTTCACTGTGGTGTTGGCATTTTTCTGTTGGTTCAAGCTGGGGACACACTGTTCAACGTAGGTGACAGATATTTGCACATTATTGTAAATCCAGCCCAGGGAGTTTCTGGTATTTAATGTTTGTAACATCCCACTGAGGGCAGAGCCCCACACGCTGCCCTGCAGGACAGAGCTGTGGCAGGGCAGCAGAACATGTTAGAGATAAACAGAATAAACAACCTGGAAACCAGCACAGACCAATTATGGCTTCTTATTTGGCAGCGGGGCAGAAAGACAGAGACTTTCTACAGTCTCAGAATCATCAAAACCACAGATGCCAACAAGCAGCAGCTTCTGACCAGTGCAGGGAGGTGTAGTGCTTGGGACTCACACTCAGAACTCTCCCAGAGCACAGAGCTCACTCACACTGCTGCAGGTGCTGAGCCCAGATGCAGGAATTGCATGGTGCAGGGCTGCAGGAGCCCCAGGAATTGCATGGTGCAGGGCTGCAGGAGCCCCTGGGCTCACTGGGAGGGCACCACACAGGTGCTCAGCACTGCCCAGATGCAGGAATTGCATGGTGCAGGGCTGCAGGAACCCCCCTGCAGGGCTGTGCCTGCTGGGGCTCACTGAGAGGGCTTCACACAGCTCTGCTCACTTCCCCTTTCTGCTGTGACACTGGTTTTCTTCAGAGATGTCCACATTGCTAAAGTTAAAAACTCCTCTTCCCTGCTTTTCCCATTCCAATGTGGAAAGGAGCCACAAAAATACCAGAGCAGGAGCAAGAACTCTGCCAGTGCATCGAGCTCCTCAGCTGCCCTCCCTGCAGCTTTCCTCTCTCTTGAGGAGGTGATGTTGTGACCCTGGTGTGTGATCACCAGAGCAGGGAGTCAGAGATGCAATTTAAAAAAATAAAGAGCAAACTGGTCAAAAATGGAGACTCAAGCAATCTTATTTTCTGGCTCAACTTTATGAAGATCTGATTAGACCTTAGTGAAATTTAATCTTTGCCTTCCAGATCTTCTGAGACAACAATAAAGAGCTCCTGAGCTCATAAAGTACCCAGAGAGGAGAGATACCACCCAACCAGGAAAATAGCTGAGAAAAATTATTTTTCTTGGTACTAATCAGCAGGTAAATCTGCAAAACATGTCATTAAAAAGTAAATTATGAAAAGCTACACATCACTATTTTCAAATACAAATACACATCATTTTCAAATACAAGAATACACATTATCAGACAAAGTAATAAAATAATATGAAAAAGACAAGACAAATTAGCTACAGCAATAATTAGGAATGCCAGACATTCAGAAGAGAGTATTTGTTCAAATTGCTATGATAGTCAAGAGACAGAAAATTCAACTCCCAGCAGTCCCACAGTGCTAACATTTCTTTTTCCTTTTTTTTCTACTACAAATTTACAGCAAAACCAAACCAACCTACCAGATATATTTTTATATTATTAGCTCTTTCCCAGAACAATTCTGCTTCAAAAACAATCATTAAGCTGGAACTGGCAAAACCCAAAGTTCCAGTCTTTTATTCTCAGCCAGAGGATCCACATTTCTCCATGTCCTTGTAGCAGCTGTTCCTACATTGCCTCATAAGACAAAGAAATAAGGGAATTTTTTTTACTTTCCTCAAAATATTTTTATTTTCATGGACAGAAAATACATACAAGAAGCCACACTAAATACTGCTTCCTGGATGTGCTCAGCACAGATCTACAGAGAGCTCTCACTGCAGGAAATGCTGGTTTTTGGGTGTCCTGCCCCTCTGCCAGCTCAGCCATGGCAATGGCACCAAAAGAAGCCTTTCTGCTCATTCAGCATCCCTGATGGAATATTTGCTAAGGGTTTGATCTTGTCCCCTTGGTTTGTGCCCACAGTGCCCAGGATTCCCAGGGGGTCTTCATGGCCAAACCTTTCCTACTTTGGGTTTGCTGAGCCCACCACAAGCCATGGCACAGTGTAAAACCAGCAAATCCTACAACTCTGATATTTTTTGGATTCTTCCAATGCTCTGCTTACAGTCCAACAGGATCAGCTTTTGCAGTTTGCAGGAAAGAAAGTAAGCAATTCTTACCAAAGTACAGCAATCTGGGAAATTAAAACAGAAAAGGAGAAACCAGATATGAATGGGTGGTAAAATTGTATTTTCAATCTTCTCCTCTAATAATGTAGTACAGCAGCCATCTCCAACCAACTCATCATATCAGCCAAAGTGATATATGCAGGAAATATTGAATATTAAAGAAACAAACAGATGCTAAAAAATTTCTAAACTATGGATGTGCAGAGTCAAAATAAATGAGGACAATGTGCATGTACTAAGTAGAGTTAAAAACTAGAGATGGTATATATATATATATATTATGCATGTGTATATGTATCAATCATCTAGGAACTCAATTTAATTTTTACACGCACTGATTCTCCCATGTCCTTATTGTTGCTTATAGAATCCTTCACTTACTAATTCCATGTCTCATACAGCCATGCAACAAAAACCTGGTTATATTGTATATAGTTACCCAGCAGAACGTCTGTGGAATAAAGGTTGCTGATTAAAATCCTATTTTAATCATGCAATTAAAAAGTCTACAGTAATACTGCAATTACAATACTTTTAAAATGCATCTGTGCAGAAAGCTAGAAGACTGGAATGAATATGGTATTCTGATCTCTCACTGTACAAATGTACAATAATTCTCAATCTGTTCTTGCCTGGGCAAGTTCAGAGTGTGTGCAACATTTAAGATTAATTAGAAAGAACACGTGTTCCTCATGAATGATGCCATGTCTAGTACTATATGTAAATTAACTCATGTCAGCATGGGCCATGTTGTGTCATGATTTTTCCTTTTTTTTTTTTGGGAGAGGATGTACAATTTTTTGACTGCAAGTACTATAGATTGTTGACTTTACAATAGCTGTAGAGAGATTTCATAAAAATAAAACATTGGGCAATATGTAAGTTGGTTCTCTGGTAGGTTTTTTTTTTTTTTTTTTTTTTTTTTTTTTTTTTTTTTTTTTTTTTTTTTTTTTTTTTTTTTTTTTTTTTTTTTTTTTTTNTTTTTTTTTTTTTTTTTTTTTTTTTTTTTTTTTTTTTTTTTTTTTTTTTTTTTTTTTATTTTTGCCAACTAACTGGGATAAGAGAATTCATACGGTATGAATACATTATATTCTGTTTGGGCACCTCAAACATGAGCAGAGTGGTTATCACAAAGGCTCCACAGCAGCCACCTCTCCCCAGCTTATCGCCTTGAGGAAACGGCACTGCCTCCAACACCAAACACAAAATAACATCACATTACACATGCAAAATCCAAGGTCTCAGCTTTAACTGTCCTTTGATCTTCCATAACTGAAGGAAGTGTAAACCAAGATCAAGTTTATTAACTACAGATCAAAGTGCAGCCTAGTTTTTCCCCTTCCAACAGCAATTAAAGACTGGAGGTAAATTTCTAGAGAAAATTATTTTGAGATCCATATAGGTTATTTTTGCAATCATTGAATGTGCCATTCCAATTTAAAAACACAACTTCGGGATACTATGACCCATATTTCTCCCAGCTCTTACTTGGAGCTTCCTTTCCTCCTCTGGCATTTGGGTGCTTATTAATTGGGAGAGTGGACACGTAGCACCATGTAACAGAACTACTGCAGTAATACAGTAAAAACTTAGAGG